CTTTATTGCCTTACTCTCGTATTTCATTAGAATGGCAATCTAACACGACAGGGAGAGAATGTTTTTACATGCATTTCGACGCACAAGGGTGAAACACCACCAACTTCCTGACTCGAGACAGACAGCTACAGAGACTACAAGTTTCATAAAAGCACATCACAATTGCATACACACAAGCTCAGGGTTTAATTACAGTAGAAACAGAGTTAAGGTTATATTTAATACCAAACGCTTGTCAACATGACTTGAGGTACTATTGTGGTTGAACTCAGTGCTTGTGTGCATTATTGCAAAATGCTTAATAGAAGCTACCATACTCTCATTCCTCTTGATTAGAGATACCATACAATTGGATTTCTATAAATCGGAACATGAAAACTACCAAATGGAAAGATAAGAATTTACTAGGTTTTCTTTTTTAGATTTGCCGATAAGTTTTTATATTTTCTTTAACACAGATTTAATTCGTTTACAACATATACACAGAATTTATATGTGGTAGAGCCATGCTGCAGTTATGATTATACTAGTTATACTGTACTACTAACAGCTGTAGCACGAATGAGTCGGCTCGACCGGGGAAGGACCACACTCTCACAGAATATCAGCATGAAATAGTAGCTTGATGCTGCTGTGTTTCCTATGGTGAGTGTAGAGAACCGGAGGCCCTTTTTACTGGAAACAAGGCATTCCATCTTAGTCCTCAGGGGTGACAACGCATCTGCATTTTGATTCTAAATTGAAGATAAATCTAGATTTCTATGGGCCACAGCATCCACTTACCATCAAGTGGATTGTGTGCTCATTTGTCACCCGATCCTATAAAAGAAGTACAAGAGTTAAAATGTCCAAAAAAATTAAAGACCAAACCACTGAGGCATTGTTTTGTTGTATTTACATACACTAGACACCGATAAACTTTTATAATGCAACAATATAATGACATTGTGTAACAAATAACTTCTCACCTCGGTACCAAATAGCGACATCTGGTGAGCAGAAGATAATTAGTGCTCATTGAAAGTAGCAATTGCCACAAAAGTAGCCCAGTTCTGAGCGCTTTAAAATAATCCATCTTTCCATTTCATCCCTTGGGTGTTATAAGAGGCAACTACGGGAAACACTAGGCAATGACCTGATGCTGGTGTGACGTAGCCAGGGCTGATGCTGCTGCCCAGGGCCGCTAGAGCCATAAAGACATAACGGTGATTGACTTTCATCTCCCAAATACCTCCCTCTAAAATTTGCCTCCTGGTGTTATGCTCCTCCTTTGCTAAGCCACTAATGCCAGGTCTCATGACATCAACGAAAAAATGGCAGTGTAGCTATCTATCGCAAGCTGAATTTGAATTCTCAGATTAAGTTCCGTTCCATTTCCATATAATCACATAAGATGGACAATATGCATAAAACTATTAAGTGACCTCCATAAAGGAATAACAAATTAATTGCATTCAACCAGCAGTTCCTAAAAGAATAATTGTTATTATACTATATTGTATTCAGCTTGTAGTGGAGGCCAAGTGTATGTTGTAAGAGGCGACAGAGGGAAACCTAAGCAGGAGATGGGTGTAGAATCTTCCTAATAAAAAATCAAGATAATAAGAAATTGCTGTCGCTAACCTGTCTACCAAGTGTGCCAACTATTCAAATAACCCCCAGTTATGCGGCAATCTACAGAGAGATCTAGTATCTAGATGTTAGTGCTGTTAGTCTATGCGACTCTTACAGCTTCATCTGTCTCAGGCAACAGAGAGACCAATGTTCATGTTTGTTGACTTTCAATAGTTGTGGTGATTGCCAAGTGCGGCAATCAAGGCAAATCTCTTCATTGGGAGACACACATATCAAGCAGTTGATGTTTAATGTGCCCCCAAAGGCAATAATAAGGATTGATACTGTAACTTACGCCAAGGTAAGAACAAATCTTCAGGTCACAGCATGAATATGCCTAAACTATTATTTACTTTTCTAAAATCTATAATTAAATTTTTTTATATTAGTACTACTTTAAAGAGCCGTGGTAGCTCAGTGGTTAACGCTCGCTGTAAATATAACAGAACACAAGTAACCCGGGTTCGATTCCCGCCGGCACCAATGAAATTGTTAATTGCAATTTTAAGTGCTGATTTACCACGTGCTCGGCGGTGAAGGAAAACATCGTGAGGAAACCTGCATGTCTGAGGAATAAGAACAAAAAAATATTTCGAAGACATGTGAAGTTCGTCAACACGCATTTGGGCAGCGCGGCGGACACTTCCTTGCCCTAAACCCTCTCAGAAATGAGGGGAGGCCTGGGCCCAGCAGTGGGACGTATATAGGCTGTAACTTTACTTACTTTACTTTATATTAGTCATACTTACCGGCAAAAAAATTTAAATTGTGCATAAGTGCACAATTGATCTAAAAGTAAGAGTACCAAACCATTGAGTATCTATACAATGCAATCATCTCTAGACAAAAATTCGGTCATAAAGGGTCATAGTCTACCAAGGCTGGATTATAATGAATGAGTGTGTATGCAAGCACAGCTACACTCTTTATTGCCTTACTCTCGTATTTCATTAGAATGGCAATCTAACACGACAGGGAGAGAATGTTTTTACATGAATTTCGACGCACAAGGGTGAAACACCACCAACTTCCTGACTCGAGACAGACAGCTACAGAGACTACAAGTTTCATAAAAGCACATCACAATTGCATACACACAAGCTCAGGGTTAATTACAGTAGAAACAGAGTTATGGTTATATTTAATACTAAACGCTTGTCAACATAATTTGAGGTACTATTATGGTTGAACTCAGTGCTTGTGTGCATTATTGCAAAATGCTTAATAGAAGCTACCATACTCTCATTCCTCTTGATTAGAGATACCATACAATTGGATTTCCATAAATCGGAACATGAAAACAACTACCAAACATAAAGATAAGAATTTAGTAGGTTTTCTTTTTTAGATTTGCTGATAAGTTTTTATATTTTCTTTAACACAGATTTAATTTGTTTACACATTAACACAGAATTTATATGTGGTAGAACCATGCTGCAGTTATACTTATACTAGTTATACTGTACTACTAACAGCTGTAGCACGAATGAGTCGGCTCGACCGGGGAAGGACCACACTCTCACAGAATATCAGCATGAAATAGTAGCTTGATGCTGCTGTGTTTCCTATGGTGAGTGTAGAGAACCGGAGACCCTTTTTACTGGAAACAAGGCATTCCATCTTAGTCCTCAGGGGTGACAACGCATCTGCATTTTGATTCTAAATTGAAGATAAATCTAGATTTCTATGGGCCACAGCATCCACTTACCATCAGGTGGATTGTGTGCTCATTTGTCACCCTATCCTATAAAAAAAAATCTTTCATTACTGCCTAACTAAAGTCAACAATGAAGATGCTGCGGCCCATATTTATTAGGTTTACCTCAGTTGCCTCAAGCTGAATACAACAATAAATGAACAAATATTTTAATGTGCTATGCTGCAGCTATATTATAGTGATAAATGGTGAAATAGCCTAACATTGCTGTTGTGTATGGTAAGTGTAGAGAACGGGAGGCAAGGCAAGTAAATCCATCTTAGTCCTCAGGGTTGACAGCAATCTACACTTTGATTCGTAATTGAGGATAGATGTACATATCTATGGACCACTGTATTCACTTGCCATCACATGGACTGTGCGCTTGTTTCAGATCAACATTATTCTATTAAAAAAAGTAATAATAACAAGTTTTTTAGCCGCTGCCGAGTGAACATTATTAATTTGCTATTCTTTTGTGATGGCCATAATATGATCCGTTTACATTATCTTAGCACTAAGGGATAACATTAGAACTAGTGTGCCTTTCTAGTAGTCATTTACCCTTTTTCCAGTGCAGAACCACTATGTCTAACCACGGGAATACATGTTGGCCATGTTTCAGCCAATGCAAGCTGTAGGCAAATTTATACATGTCGAGTGCTACAGTCTACACATTGGTCAAGTTCGGAAGAGACCAATGCCAAGCCCAATGTTCACGAGTTTTTGTGAAGCTATCCACATGTTGGCCATGATTAGTCGGTCATTAAGAATTGGTATGATATCATAGACATAGAAGTTATTGCAGCTTCTACTATTTATTTAATGAGTGCATATAATTATTATGTCAGTGTACTCAGCAGTAAAGTTAAGAAACTTAAAGATGTTGTTAGTCTATTGACATAGTGGAAATTATTTTAAGGTTGCAACTTAATTAAATCAATATCACACCAGGATGGACGCCAAGTATTAACTGACATGGCAGACTAAAATGTGGACGCGACTTGCCGAGTGCAATCGAGTGCAGAAAAACTGACACCGTTTCGAAGTGGACGAGTCACAGTGAGTGATCCCAAGCGGCGGCAAGGCACGCCAAAGAAACTGTATATACTTTGGCGCTCACCTGCACTTGGCCAGCTAGACGAGCAATGCTGGACAAATGGGCTGTCTATATGTTGATTCTCGCCTTCGCTTGGTCAACATGTACAGCCAGCTTAAGATTCTTTGCGAATAAGGGAACATGCTCCTATGCAGTGTAACAAATAGTTCCATTTGATTTTAGTAGAAAAGTGAGTAAAATCATACTAAGTAATACTAATCACTTAAAGCTACTATTTACACATTTCTACTAAAGTACTCTCCTAAAGGTGGTACCAAATTGATAATTTATTACTTTCCATATTAGTTCAGTAAAGTAATGGAAAACTTTGGTACATGTAAGATTTTGAAAATTTAAAGTTAGAATTACTTTTATCTTTGTGAAGCTTCTAAAATAATATCTTAATTTATTTCATGTGTTATGTTACATATAAACTAATAGAATATTATAATCCCATAACCTAAATAGATAAATAAGGGACCAGAAAATTTAAAAAAAATAGGAGTTTGATACAATACATATTATTAAAGGAAGACAAAGAAACAAAATATTTTTTTGTGTTTTTATTTACTTACAGTCCTAACCATCACATCACTTCTTTGATGCCGCGCCTACTTTAGATTTCTTGGTACCACGCACTTTCTTCATCCTGTTCTTGCGTTCCTTGCGCTGTTTGCGGGTTGGTCGTTTCTTTTCATAGAGACCGTGACGTGCAAGTCTGTGCTTAGGTTCGAACTTTTTAGCGAGGTCTAAAGTATCGTAGATTAACGCAAATCCGGTGGATTTGCCACCACCAAAGTTAGTTTTGAAGCCGAACACAAAAACGACATCAGGTGTCACCTTGTACATTTTAGCGAGCTTCTCACGAATTTCAGTTTTGCTGACGGTTGGTTTTCCTGGGTGTAGCACATCGCAGACCATCTGCTTACGCGCCAACAACCTGAAACCCACATACGTTGTCTCACATAACCTGACATTGCGAGCAGAATGATAAACTTTTAATGCTAATCGCGACCTGTTATGGACTTAAATTAAACACTAAGCACATTTACCTGTTGGTCATGAATTTACGAGTACGAATTGTGGCCGTTCCTTCACTCATTTTTGCTTATTTTAGAGATTTTGGCGTGATTGACGCACGTGTCTCCAACAATTTCGCAAAGAAAAAGAACGACACGGTGTTGCTACACAAAAATACTATGTATGACAATTTCCCAGTGTTGTAGGTTATTAAAATTTTCATTTATTTAAAAGATTATGATTTATGGCTTTATTACCTATACATAATTTTTGTTGCTGAGAATAAAACCTCTTTAGTAATTACCTATATATTATAATATGTGGCTGGGAATAAATATATTAGTTTTTAACGGGTCAAAACGGGCAGTATGTAGCTGCCCTTAATCCATTTCATTTTACAAATTGTAATTTTATTTGTAACAAATAATAACTGTTCCTGGTTTGGATATTTGTCCTTGTGTAATTTAAGTACGTACCTTACCATTCCATCCCAGCAACGCACCCGCATGCCTTTCTTCTTCTATTTAAGCAATTTTTGTCGAAGTGCGTGCACTAAATGCTGCCATTTTTTAATTTATCGCAATCTATATTATATTTCTCATATAGTAACACTTGGATAGTTCTAAAAGAAATGTCACTTTTAAACAGACGCCGGTTTCTGTGCAAGAAATTTTTGCTGTAACTTTTACTGTAGTTTTTACTGTTACTGTATATATATATATATATATATATATATATATATATATATATATATATATATATATGTTACCAAGTAAGTATTTATTTGATAACATTTAGTCCTTTTACTATTATAAAAACGTAATTCATACTTAATTGTTTTGTTTAAATAACATACTTATGTGTTAAAACTATAATTTATTTTTTCAAATCTTCTGTACATTTTTACATCGAATATAAAGACTTTTTTTTTAAATTTACTACTACTTTCCGTTTTTTCAGGTACGATCGGTTTCTAAAGCAACATGGCAAGTAATTATGGAGCTCTTTGTTTGGTTTAATTGTCAGTTGTCGCTTTGTAATAATGAGGATTTGTAATAACAGTGAGGCGAAAAATAAAAGTTTATCACAAGACAGGTGTGATGCGGTACCATTGATGATTTTTTGTTAATTGGATATTTTATATCATTAAGTCGACAATTCAGTTACTTGAAATTATTCAGAGACAATTATATTATACTATTATATTAAGTATTACACGCAAAAATTATCCAAAAGATGTTAAAACCAAATAATTTTAAAAAAAGGCGAATGTATGCTGCAGTATAACAGAAATAGCATCTGTGTTTTAAAATTGCGTAATAATAGAGACATCGTTGTGATATCGCTAAAATTTGATTTACAAATGATAACAACAAGGACAAGACGTGACAAAAAGGTATCGAAGCCTAACATGGTTGTCCAATATAACAAGAACAAGGGTGGCATTGATCACCAAAATCAGATGCTAGCCTATTATTGCTGCGAACATAAGTCTATCAGGTGGAATATAAAGCTGGCAGTTCGCCTGTTGCAACAAATAATGTATAATTCCTTAACATTAATGTCTATTTGGTTAATGTATATTTGGTTGTTTTGGGCTATCTATTGTAAAATAGTAAAATACAGGATGAATTTCCTAGTTGGGCTTCAGATGACCAAGCAAGTTCGTTTTATGTTATTTTAACAATAAAGTTAAATAGCTTGTAAGTTCATTTGTTTCTCTGGGTTATTATGGAAATGGAAATAAACAAAATAATCAATTATTGTTATTATCTAATTTGGTTTCTGGTAAAAAAATTATATGACTCCGGATAATCAATAATTAACAACGGTGAAAGCACTATTTAAAAAGAAAGCTTCAATAAAACGTCATATTCACGTAATTTAACCTTGCCTACAAAAAGGAAAATCGATGCGTGGATGTAAATATTGTTGGAAGATCCATAAAATACGCAAATACACTTAATTTTTCTGTCCAGAGCAACCAGGATTAGGTAGTGCATTATTTATTGTTTTAGATTAAATCACAATTATTAGTAGAACCTTAGTATGATTGTATTATTTTGTAAATTACATAAGACTGATTTGAGACATTTTTTAATTTCTTTTATTTACACCTTAAAAATGAATTCCCTATGTTTATGCTTTTCGTATTACGAATCGCAGCATTGTATAAAGCCATCCACAATATACCTACTGTCAAACATCCGTTCTCGGATCTCGCAAAAAACTTTGTGAAAACATGTGCCACTCTCGCAATATGTGCGTTTTGTGATTTTTTTTCGTACATAGCTATAATTTTATTCATCTATTTTCTATCGTAATTTATGATAAAAATTTGTGGCACCTACTAAAAACTTTTTATAAAGGTGGCATGGAATGGGGTACATAAAAAAATCTAGTGTGTGGTGCATTTTTTAAAATAATTGATGCATGAATTTTATTTAAATTAAAATGTTTTTTAACCTACAACTTTGGGTTCAGTAGTTTGATTTTTTTAAGTAATGTTCGTACGCAAAATGTGACTCTGCCGTTATATTTGTAATGTTGTTGATAAATATCCGAGCATTGATACTGATGATTGAGCGAGATACTGGCAACATCTTGAATGTTGCCAGTATCTGCGAGATAGGGAAAGACAAGTCACCCGTGTGAAGTCAGGATGGAGCGATAGTTACAGGCCGGAAAATACTGCAGAGAAGTTACAGCCGCGGGGCGGTTCCGGTACTGAGGTGAACGATCTGTTTTCCTTTGTATTGTTAGTAGTATATGCAACTGGTCACACAAAGCGGAAACGGTACGACGCGGTCCGGGAACGGGCGATTACCGGACTTGCATGTTGTAGTTTTTGCTCTAAACTTGATTGTATTTTCTTACGTTTTAATTTAAAAAATAATCATTGGTGATTTTTGTTATTTTTTTTAAAGGAAAAGAGCAATGATATCATTTAGACGGACAGAAAAACGATTTAAAAATGGCGGGAATGTGCTTTTTACTTTTTGTTTCCTTTTTGTTAATATCCTATCGTGTCCTATATTATACATTGATATTAAAAACTGCCAGATACAAAGACAAACAGTACAACCAAAGAGATTTTTCTTCCATTTTATATATACAAAATACGAAGAAACTTTTTCCTGACCTTAGTCCTTAATTTAAACACCTTCATAGACTCACTCTGCTATAAACTCATAGTGAATGAGTCCCACCAATTAGTACCGTTTTTAATGTTTCAAGCCGCTAAATTTTATGCAACTCGAAGACTCAATTCATAAAATTGTTTTAATTTTGTTTTTAAGTTCTGATTTACCCCATGTTCGTGTTCGGTGATGAAGGAAAACACCGTGAAAAATCCAGCATGTCTGAGAAATACAATATTTCGACTGGGAAAGCGCGCTCGACTATGATTCCATAGTCCCCTCAGAAATGAGAGGAGACCTGTGCCCAGCTGTGTGACGTATATATTATACGTATATATGTAAGAAAAGAGCTTACTCCTTTCTAAAAGCGGTGTCACAATTGTTAATGGGCGGCGGTATCGTCGCTTACAATCAGGTGAGCCACGTGCTCGTTTTCCCCCTCGGTTATAAATAAACATGTATACACAGGATGCTAACTTCTTTGTTTTATAATCTTAAAAAGTTCCATAACAAAATTGCGCTATATATTATACTTATTACCTTAAAACATAAGCAATTTATGAGTAAAGTTAACTACAAAATGTTTCCCTTAGGGAACAATTTCCTTAAATGTCAGTAAATCAAAGAAAATTATTTTTCTATACAAGCTGAAATATGAAAATGGCAAAGTAATTTGCGGCTAAAAGGTCAACGATAGCAACTCATACTAGGTTATTCATTGTTCCAAAAAAATATGCGTCAAATATATATATTAATAATCTATGTTATACTTAAACTATTATGAAGTGGTATAAACTATGAAGACAATGATGATAATATTACCCTTACCGTTACCGTTACAGCCTACTAAAGTCCACTGCTGAACATAGGCCTCCCCCATAGATGCCCTTGCATATTTGCCATAGTTTCCACGCTTGGAACTTGGAAAGCGCGATGGCAACCGTATTTTTTTATTTTTAGTCTTTATTAGGAAGGAAGAAGTATCACAATATAACCCCATTTCTATCGTATTGCCACTTCTTCAAATGTGGTTATGAGTAGCTGAATAACATTCAATTACTAACAAAATTAAGAACTTCAAAATAATTAGGATACTGTGTTTATTAATAACAATTCAAATAAATGTTGGTTTTGCTTTTAAGTCCTGATTATCACTACATATTTTATACGTGGAAGAGCCATGCTGCGGTTATAATAGTAGTATAGTTGTAGCAAAAATCGTTCGACTCGACCGGGAAAGGTCCACGCTCTCACAGAATACCAGCGTAAAATGGTAGCTTAATGCTGTGTTCCGTATGGTGAGTGTAGAGAACCGGAGACCCTTTTTACTGGAAACGAGGCATTCCATCTTAGTCCTCACAGGTGACAACGCATCTGCATTTTGATTCGTAATCGAGGATAGATGTAGATGTCATGTGCTACAGCAATCACTTACCATCAGGTGGACTGTGTGCTCGTTTGTTACCCTATCCTATTAAAAAAATAGCCAACCTTCACCCTATTGTTTACTAAACGTATATACAAGTAACAAAACGGATATTGCGGATTTATGACATAGATTAGTAATTCCAAGATACAACAATTTTTTTTTAATTTTATTTCATGTATCCTGTACTCATTATTACATTATAAATTTGATTTTGTATTATTAATTTGTATTAGATATTCTAACATTAAATCATAGTAACAACATAATAAAATTATGATTCTTTTAAAACAATATATAAAATTTTATATACCTAACATTCTATTCTTTTTAACATTTATTTCTACTATTATGTACTTTAATTATTAAGGCTTCAAATGACATATCGCATTCACGGAACATATAGGTATAGTAGTAGGCAGAATAGGTTGGCTGTCTTGTACATTTAAGAAAAAGTCTACGATACAGAAGAAAATCCTAGAGTAGGAGGTTCAACTCTAGGTACAACTCTAATTA